GTCCATACTCCAAGTTCATTTTGGCTCTAATCCAAGCTATGTTGGCTCCCCCACCCCCACCCCACCCCGGGCATCACGCTCTTTATCTCCACGACCAGATCCCAAACTCCCCAACAGAAAATCACATAGTTTCTATCTGCCATTAACCAGCTTCCTCACCCCTGCACTAATAACGAGGCCTTCAAATCATCACTACTCACAAGACTGGTTAAGGAAAAGATTGGAGAGAGATGGAATGCATCCCTATCTCCACGCAGTTTCTGTCAGTCTTACCGATCTGTAGCTATATATTTATCTATCTTTTTTATTTGGTGATTATAAACCTCATACAGGCTGGGAAACGTGCTTGCTCTGTTGGCCAGGGGTTACTCAGTGCTGGCAGGAGTAAAGATGTTTAAGGAAGCTCTGTGGTGTATAGGAGCAAATGGAGAGGACAAGGAGCTTACTCAGAGGGGGATTTCCACTCACCTTAAAGAAGTGCAATGAAAGCAAACTTGGTGGTTTTTATTTAACTCTGGGCAAGTTGATATGGACCGAGAAATTCAATGAACTGCATTCATCAATTTTTGTCCCTGGGGTAGAGTCATGAGACTGAGACCCAGAATTCTTGGTCCCACCCCTTTTGTGACATTAAACACACACACACACACACACACACACACACACACACACACAACCTTGGCATATTACACCAACCGGATTTTTTTTCTTTGTCTCAAGGAAGGCTCAGCTGAACACTAGATTCCTCACCCAGTGCAACAATCAAAAATTCAGAAAACCTCAGCTGCCTCAGATGATGTCACAAAACCCTTAAGAACGCTCACTGCTGAGTTGGGCACAGGTCCAGCAGACACAATTCTTTCTGCCAGTTATTCAGGGTCTTTGACAGGTTAGGTGGTCTTTTTTCTTCGTACTCCTCTCTCTTTTTTTTTTTTCATCCTCTTAAAAGGCAGTTCAGTTTACCTCTAAGCAAGACATTAGCTCTGGCTGCCCCAAATAACATTTTAATTGAAGTCTCAGTCCAAACAAATGCCCGGCCTCTTTATTAACCCCAACAGTGTAATTTTTCAACCCAAGACTGATTCAGGGGGAAACTGTCTCACTTAAGCTGCCATGCAACGGAACATGGCAGTTTTCCTCAATCAGTCTCTTTTCTGACCTTAATTTGAACCTTAATCTCTTTTAACCATGTTCTCTTTATTAGCTGCTCAGAGCCGTGGCACAATACTAATTTTCCTGTTTTTAGACTCTCGGTTTACAGAGGTATTTCACTCCCCCTTCCGTCCCCAAATGTAACCAAGATTTCATGGACCTTTTAGGGAAAGGGGAGGTAATACTTCCTAACATTTTTTTAGGTTTAGTAATTTAAATAGCTTCTTTGCAAGATGTTCTATAGAATTTTAGATTGTGCATTTTTGAGGTGCATTAATGTTTATGTGCAAAAAAGTCATACCTTTAATTCTCAGAAAAACCTTAAAAAAACCCTTTTAAATGATTACAAAAGATTTTTTATCAACAGACAGGTCCACATTCATAAAATAAAGTAGAAACTAAGGTTATTATCTTACTAATTCAGGCAAAAATAATATGTATGTTGAATTCGAAACTTCTCATCTTTTGGGGAGGCCTGAATTACCCAGATAATTGCTTCAATTCCTTTCTTCATTTTTATGCTTAGACGTAATCAATGAATAAGGACAGAGAAAATAATTTTTTCTTAATTATACCTTCCTATTTTTTGACATTGGTAAAACGATCCAAATTAAAAAGAAAAAAAACCCACCCTTTTCAATAACAATGAAAAAAATGTGTTTCCCTATTTGGAGTCTACCTTAATACAGCAGAACTATGTAGGTAAAAAAACAGTGCTTATGATCATGTGCTCAATTAGATTTATTATAGGTTTTTGTACTTTTTGGCATTAGCATGAAAGCATATTGGTTATTATTCTTTATAAACTAATTGGAGGCTTTGTATCCAGTTACCCCTCTGTTCTCTGGTTAATACACTAGTTTGTTGATTACAAAAATTACATTTCTGTGACTTTAAAGTGCTAGGACTAGGATTGTCATTGAAAGTTGGAGATTCAGCCTGGTGTTTAGAAGGCAGCGACCATGTGCCCTCGGGTGAGAGGAGGTAGGCAGCTGGGAACAATTGTCTGTCCCCTGCAGTGTTTAGTGGCATTAGCAGCGTGCTGGCACGATAAACTTTGCCTTCATTTCGCTGGCTCAAACAATTAGTGGGATTGAATCAGAGTTCTCCTGGATCATAGTTTATTACATGTTATTAAATTCCATTATTCAAGAAGTTGCTGCTATGATTATAAAACTTCCCAACGTTTCCTACAAAGCCCCCATCTCCATTCCTTACATATTTTCTTACACGTTTTATCTTGTGCTTCTTTGATAGGCAAGCCTTTTTTTTTTCTTTTTCTTTCCCCTTGGTGCTTATTTAAAGAGCTAAGGGCTAATTTGAAAATACATCTTTGAAAGGATAACAAAAATGAGATGTGAAAAAAATGGATGACGATTCTTAATTAGTCCATTATTTGACACGCACGATTTAACATGGTATGCTTAGCATTGTGCATTCCCCAAAAGAACAAGGCTCTTTTTTTTTTATCCCAAACTTTAACTCCCTCTCATTCATTATATCCCTTCTTGTCACTTTTCATCAGCTGGTTGTGACATCCTTTGCTGGAAGGGCGAGCAAGCAGATTACTTCCAAACTGGTGTAAATGACACTCAAAAGACTGGCCTAAAGGGGGTTTTGTGATAGCAACAAGCTCCTCAGCCCCCGGAGTTGGAGAATGTCATTTCAATAATATACTGGAGTCCATTGTCACATCATTTTTGTAGCAACTTGTTAACTTCCCAGAACTGGCAGGAATGGGTCTTTGCTGGAATGTATGCCTTATAGCATCTAGTATTATCACTGTTTCTGATAATAATAATAATAATAATAATAATAATAATAATAATTGTGCCAACCCAATCCTTCTCATTAGCATCTTGTAAAACTACAGATGAGGAAACTGAGGATCAAAGTTAAATAGATTGTCTTCTGATCACATAGCTAGCTGATAAGTACAGAGCTAAGATTTTAATTGAGGTGTGGTGGACTCCAAGCTATGCCTCTTTCCATTAGAGCAGGCTCCTCACACCGCACCAACTTCTAGGAAACTTCAGCATGTCTCCCTAAATCTAAAGGGTAAAAGAAGGATCAAAAGACTATTTAATTTAATGCATTGAAAGATATTGTCACTAGGCACTTCTAAATGGTGGCGAGGGATGACTGAGTGAGTCAGCCAGGGCTCAAACACACATGGATGGATTGTGCTGACTAAGAAAAGAAGTAGAGGCTCTGATGCTCTCATCAGATCAGCCCTGGAGATGTGAACTGTCCCCCAGCCATCATCCCTGTCCCCTGCTATGCCTCCCCTACTTCCAAAGGTCCATCCTTGGGAACCATCCTCAGCCTTGGAAGAAGGTTGACTTGGGAAGAGCTGAATGATTGCAGATAAAAGATACATCCCAGTCGGTCATAGACAACAATGGACTCTGATATGAACAGCACCAGGACCAGTCCTGACTGCCACTCAGACCCGCACCCCACCGTTTGGCCTCACATGGTCTTCTGCTCCTGAGGAAACCAAGTTTTCTTCATTAATTAAGTTTCAGCTTCTTTCCTTCATTAAACAAATTTTAGCTTCCTTTCCCAGTAGTAACCTTTGAAACATTTTGATTATAAAATAGAGAATAGGGAAAATACAGAGCAATACATTACATAAGAGTCACCTGTTCTTCTACCACCAGGTGAAAATTGCTAGTTTCATGGTATATATCTTTCTAGTCTGGGCTATACATACACATACTAGGCAGTAAAATATGATTGTTATAGAGATAAATTCTGAAATCAGGCCACCCATCTTTAGCTCTAGACACGGTCACGAGCAGTGTCACTTAACCTCCCTGGACCCATTTTCTCATATGTAAAGTCCTGCCACATAGAGCTGTGACAATGACCTAATAATACATGTGAGGTAGCTGGCCCATGGGAATCACTTACTTCATTCTAGTTAGCATCACAGGTGCGATGGTTCAGTGTTCTTGTCTTACTGGCTGTTTCTGACCATGCTCTAGCCTCCTTGATTCCAAGCCCATAGATAACTTCCTCCTCAGCTGTGATTCTGTCACTTCTCAGCTCATGTAGTTTGACCAGCTTCTCCCTTACACCACATCAGTCACTTTCTAGGTCTCGATTGCTGTCCATTTAACCATAACTCTTATATAAGCATCACCAGCATCTTACTTCTACTTCTCTCTGATGGACACATCCCTGCTTACCCTGCCTGGCACCAAGGCAAAGCCTGAGCAGCCCTCCTTGTTTTCTTCTGTCATGAACTCCTTGAAGTGAGCGCAGATGGAGGCAACACCAGGAGTCTGTGATTCTAAAGACAGTAGCAGCACCAACCCACCATGTTTGGGCCTCTGGAATGTCATTGACACACTAGGTTCCAGATATATGTATATATGCAATACAAGGGCAAGTGTATTTGTTTAAAGCATTTTAAACATAAAAAAGAAGGATCTTAAAAATATTCTCTCCTTTAAAAGCCCTCTGTTGACAAGTCCATCTTCTCAGAGATCTTTGCACCACTGAGAAAAGGAAAAAGAAAGGGGGGGGAAATATATATATATATATATATATATATATATATATATATATATATATATATATATATATTCTTTTTAACTGGGACAGGGTGTAAGATTGGAGAGTGGGTGGCCAGTGACAAGGATGGAGGGAGGGGGATTACATTTAATGAAGCTGGGAGTTCACATGGACCTTTCATACAAAAAAAAATGTTGATTTTACATGCCAAAGTCTTGAAAGGGGCTTGACGGCTCACATCTTTGGTGTATTTTCCCAGATGGCAGATGCCATTTTGTGTTTTGCATAAACTGACTAAATTTGCTTGCTCTTTGTACTTATTTCAGAGGCAAGCATTCTTCGCTTTCAATAGGACAGAAGCGCTCCTTGGCAGTGGAACCCTCCTGGTCTGGTGAGGGAGGAACAACGGACTGTTCTGTACACAGGCGTCACCCAAAACTTCCTCCGTTCACACTGAGGAAAGAACTTGGGCAGGGGCTGTGGATTCCCGTTATCTAAGGAGGATTCTGACTGTGGGAGCCAATCAGAAGGTAAGCTATGCTGAAGAACTTTCCAGAGTTATCTTTCCAATTTGCCATTCTTATCTCCGTGGAGCACAAATAGGTTCATTATGCTCTTATTTCAAACCCTGCTAATTGCTAATGTGTGATCCTGTAAGTTAATTCCTCTGTGCCTCAGTTTCTGAAAAAAAAAAAGGATGATAATAACAAATAGCCCTTATCTCTTAGTATTGTTGTGATAATTCCATGGTTTCTGAATCCATGTAAAGGGTTTGGTAAGTGCTCAAGAAATGTTGGTAATTACCGTTGCTGTAATTAATTTCTGTGGGAATTTGCATGTTTTTCTTATTTTCTGCTGATTTGACCCCGCCCTACTCCCACCATCATTATGTTAACTCTTTGGGTAGTTTTTATGGAAATAGACTGGCAATAAAGTGGTTAAGCTACAGCCTTTGTGGTCAAACAGTCAAGTTGAAGTTCTTGAAGTGACATTCAATAGCTCAATGGATGACTTAATTTCTCCCAGCCTCAGTGTTTTCATCTTTAAAATAGGGATGATAATAACAGGACTGCCTCATAACATTTTTGAGAGGATTAAATTGAGACAATGCTTGCACAGTGTCTGGCAAGTATATAAAGCATGTTATGTATTGCTATTATTTCTGCTTTTATCCTCAAAAGTTCCTCCAGAAGCTTGTCAAGGCTCTGGGGCTCTGGCTTCATGTCAGCTCCCCCACCAGAAATGAGGGCAAACACAGAAATAGAAAGATGCTGTGAGGCCATGACTTTATGGGGATTCTGCCAAATAATGACACAGAATTGAGAGTGTCGAGTCTTGCTCAACATGGATTTCAGTTAAAGTTAAGAAACTCACATTTCTGAACAGGGGAATCCCCAACTCATGACGCTGGGGGTTATCCCAAAGGACAGTAGCTAATGGGATAGGAACTAAATCCTTATTCTTCTGTTCTAAACCCCCCAAATAAGGCATAGAATGAGGTAGGTGGTGGGGAAGAAATAGTTACTTGTGCTGGTTACCAATCATGGGGGGATGTGGCATTTGCATATTGCAGAATATTCAAGTTTCACATTTTCAAAATGTATATTTATTTCTTCCTTGAAACTGAAAATGGATGGAAGTTGCATCTGTGAGTGAAAGAAAACCCCCTAAATAGTATAATTGTGTTATCAGACAGTTAAAAACTGTCTAGATCACTTTTGCTTTCCTCGTCCAACCATGAGGAGTGATCTCTATTAATAATTGAATAAAGAGATAACAATTGAACACTTCAAACTTCTAGCCCAAAGCCTGCAGGAAACCTGAAAACATGGAAGTTCATGAAGAACATGAAGAACAAGGAAGTGTACGAAGCATCCACAATCTGGCAAATATTTTGTTTGCCCTCCTAGATTTGTTTTGAACTCCCCCTTGCACTGCCTATCACTTCTAAAGGAAGAATCAGATGGGATGTGAGTTGGAAGGAAAAGGCACAGAAATGACTTCTTTCTCAATTCTGACAAGATGACAAGCCCATCTTTTTCTCTTGACCTCTTGCCTAGAAATAGCTCTGAGAGTAGAATGCTACGATTAATGATCATTAACAGCAAAATAAAAGAGGAAAGTAAGATCAAACAGACAAAAGAAAGTGCATATCAAAGAAAAAGGAAGAAGGTTGGAAAGAAAAGGAGAAAGCCATATTATTAAAGTGGGGGAAAGTATATAATAGCAAAAAACCAAACAACCCTCCCCCCACCCCTGCCCCCAAACCCCCCAAACTTTCTAGTACTGTGACAGAGATGACTAGCTGGCCAATGAAGGTTTATCTTCCCCTTCCACAGTGTAGAGCTCTTTAAGAGAAGCAATTGCTCAGCCAGGGACCACATTTCCCAGCCTCCCTTGCAGTGATTTGGGATCATGTGACTAGTTCTTTTCAGTGGAATGCGAGCTGAATTGAGGAGATGTGTGTCACTTTTGTTCTTAGTTAAGACTGTATAGTTTCTGACTCTCTCCCCCACCCCGCCCCACCCTCTCTCTCCATCTTGTAGCTGGACAACCTTGAGGTCACCCATATATAGAAGATGTAGAGCCACTACATAGAAGGAACCTGGATTTCTGAATGACTGTTTGAAGGAGCCCAGGACAGCTGCCCAACCAGGAATATCCATGTTAGACTCTTTGTGAGTGAGAAATAAACTTTGATATGTTAAGCTACTGAGCTTTTTGGGATTGCTTGTTATACCAACAACCATCAGTTACCTTGACTAATGTAAAAATTGATACCAGAAGGGAGTTCTAGAAGCAGTTGCTTTTTCTTTTCATCTTTGCTTGAGAACTGGTCAATTGATTCCTGATAATCCTCTTTTTCTTCTCTTATTTTGTCAAAAGCAGCCGATAACCACCGACACATGCTATTTTTCAAGAGTCACGTGGTCTGACTTTCCAGTTGCTAAAGGCAGTGGTCTTGCCGAGTGTTTTTCCACAGCATGATCTGGATCTCCAGCCACCCAGCCGAATGCATCTGCTTACAGCAACTTGACTACAAAGTCAATGTCACCTATTTTAGGGTTTTGTTACCAGACACCACATCTGGTACCAAATGTAACAGTCGAGTTTAGTCAGGAAAATAGAAGCCTCTTGTGGCAGATATAAGGCAATGTGTTCACCAAACACTTTCTTCTCCCTGGGCACAGGGGAAGACCATGGTCCCCTGTCCTTTGCAATTTAACTGGGGCCACAGGACCAATTCTTTGTGATGGAATGTAAGCAGAAGTACTGTGCCACCTTTGGTCCAGGGAATTAAAGAGAGTGTGTGTTTTCTGTATGTTCTTTTCCGCAGGGATCTTGGATGATAGATAGGTGTTCAGATAGCATAGCTACAAGATAAAAGCCATTCAGCCTACATCCTGAACAAGAAATACCTTGATTTTTTTTATACTATTTTGAGTTTGGGAGTTGTTTATTACCAAAATGGACCTATCCCATTCTGACTTATATACTAGAAATATTTCCATGAGGAAGGAATCCAGTGTAAGGACTTCGAAGTTTATAGAATCATTGGGAAAACCAAGGAGTAAAGGTTACTGCCTTTCAGGAAATCGGAAGGGAAGGCATCATGGAGAAGTCAAGTTGCCGCTGGTGAGCCCAGCGGCTCGTAGGACAGAAGGGGGTGATTCTCAGGAGGATGCGCAGAAGCAGACACCTAGCCCCATGTCTGCTGCCTGCCACGGCCACATTCCTGCTTGTAGCTACTGATAGAGGAAAATGGTTTTCCTTCTTCCACCTTTCAAAGATTGCACCTCTCACTGGCGGATTATGCCAAGAACCATACTGGCAAGGGTACCTGGAAAATGCAGTTCTCAGGCTCGCAGACCCTGTGGTACAGAAGGGAGCTTAAAAGGACAACGAGGGTGCTCACTGAGTTTCCACAAAAAATGTCTGGCACAGTGGTCCTTGTTCTTCCCATAGGAAATTCAAGTGGTCATTCCTCCATAACCCATTGTCTCTTGAGCGCTACCGTGAGGGCAGATCTTAAACTATTCTCTATCCTCAGTGCTAGACAATATCAAGCAATAAATTGTTCTGAATTGATTTGAATGGGAGGACATCAGAATCGATAGCAAGTAAGTAAGTTGTCCCCATGCATTTAAGTCAGGTTTCAAGGACTCCTGTCTGTAGAATCTGATAATTCTCCCTAGTGACTGCCCTAGATTCTGCCCCAGCTTAAGCCATTTTCCTTTCCAGCCTGCTCAGAGGGGCCGTGAAGAGCTGCTTGCTCAACAAGTGACCTTAAGCTTGAGCTCTGTGTCCTGTCGGTGCAGTCAGAAGGAGGAGGGTTTGACCGTAGTCTGGTTTATTGGATCTATGGAGGCTGTCAGTCGTATTTGTTTGTTTGTTTTAAACTACATTCTCAAGTTGGCTGTGTAGAGTTAGTCAAAGTATTTCTATATTTTGTTCATTTGGTTCTGAACACGACCTTTGTGCTCTGGCAGAGTTGGGATCTCTTTGGGAATGTGGGATTTACAAGTTCACTTTGGGGCAGGGTTTGGAGTGTTTGCAGTGAAGAGGTGGGGTGGGTTGGGATGTTAGGAAGGACCTGTCCAGCCATAAGGAAAGGGTACTCAGGAAAGGGAGGGCCAGACCCTGGTGTGATTTCATCTGAAAAGGCACAAAGTTAAAACTGTGGTAGATGAAAGACATCCTCTGCATATGTATTTTCCTCACCAAGCAAGGATAAGACTATTGTGCCTATGGTAAAAATAATGGTAGAATGACTCAGACTTATTTACAGCCATCAAAGAAATGAAAGATATGGATCATGTCACTAATTAATCTTTTTATCATTTTAATGTGGTGACTGTATCCAGCTGAAGAGTGCTGTGTGCATAATAGCACAATTATGGGGATGTGATGATGTAACAGCTGCCAGTGCCCAGCATTTAGCCTCTCTTTTCCATTCCCACCCACCCTGATCTCTGGCTATATTTAGTTGTTTTACACAGTGTACCTGGACCAAAGTCTATTTTACAAAATAAAAAGAATAGGGAGAAGTGTAGCATCTTCATAGAAAAATCAGGCTCCACAAAGTCTATTTCCCATGGTTACCCATGTTCCTTCTTGGTTGATATATTTTCTCCTACTTTGTACCTAGAATCATGGCTGAAACACAATCATGAGTTTACTTTGTACAAAGGGAAGTAGGGCATTGAGCAATCATCTAATGAATACAGTCAAGATGGTTAGTGAATCTGGAAAATTCCACTCTCAAAAAAATTACTTTCTCTACTCTGTAGCAGATTTCCTCTTGGCCTTAATTATCCACAGAGTTGTCCAATTTTCTGATAGTATTTACTGCTGTTGATAGCACCTTAATAATTTATTTAATGGATTTCATTGGGTTTATTTGGGAACCCTTTATTCTAAGTGGCTTCTTTTATCAATTAATTTACTTATTCAATAAATATAGAGCTCTATTCCAGTTATCTATTGCTGTATAATAAACTACCTAGAATGTAGTGATGCAATGCAACATTTATTATCATCACTCTTGGTTCTTGAAGTCGATGGGCTCAGCTGAGCAGTTCTTACTTGGAGTCCCTCATATGGTTGCAGTCAGATGGTAGCTGAGGCTAAAGACATCTAAAGGTTTCTTCAATCATACGTCTGTCATTGGGTTAATCAGGGATCTCTCTGTCCATGTAGGTAGCATGGGTGTCCTCAGAGCTTGTTGGTCTCTTGGTAATCAGCCTTCTTACATTGTGACCAGCTTCCTCCAGCATAAGTGTTCTAAAAAAATTCTGGTAGAAGTTGCAGAGCCTCTTAAGACCTAGCCTTAGAAGTCATGGTGCTCTTAGAAGATCACTTCTGTCTTCTGTTTGTCAAAGTAGTCACTGAATTCCAGGAGTTAGAGAAATAGATTCCATCTCCCAAGACTGGAATGGCTTGTGCGTTTGGGAATGAAAGAGCTGATGGTTGTCATCTTAATGACAAGCTACCCCAAGTACCTACGATGTGACAGGCACTAGGGTAGGTGCTGGGGAAAAGTGTTGAACAAAACATGCACAGCTTCTGCCCTTGTGGAGATTATAACCTAGCTTAATTAACTTTACTTTGACTTGACAGGTTTTAAAATCAACTGCTCAACAGTAAATCTCAATATCAAGTATATTTGGTTAGGAAGCTAGCAAACAGCTATTCTGAACATTTGTGATCTGGTCATCTAGTGGGTAGCTGATGCATACCTTGATGACCAACTTGATGAGCTGATTCATCCCTGTATTCCTTAAAACATGGTCTGAGCAACACTGGAATAATCATCTGTGGCTTAATGTGTTGAGTTCCTGCTTTGCATGGAGGCCGAAACTAGCTCTTCAAACTTATAAGAGGGAATATAAGAGGTGAAAAGTCAGGTTTTGTTCCTGATGAGCTTCCTCTTTGGAGCTGTTATGGTCCAGTGCAAGTGAAGCAACTTGTGACAATTATAAACTCAGACAATACAGGATAAACTGGACTGGTGGCATCTTTCAGTTTTCCTCCTGAGAATTATCTTCTGGAGAGAAGTAGTTGATTATTTGCCTCCATTTTCTTCTCCCTTGTGTCATGAAAGGAAGGTGAGCTAGGTTTGTTAAGTAAAAGGAGATTTCAGCACAGGAATGTTGACAGAAGAATTGGTGTTGTTCAGCAATTCTCAGGTCTTATCATTTTTGGCATAGTTCATGTCCATTCAGTGGTAACAGCTAGGAGGGATTGGGGGAAGGGGCTCATGATGACACAAGAGATACCTTGACATGCCAGAAACAAAGGTCAAAACCTGAAAAGGTCCAAGGGCAGGCAGTATTCCTGTGCACACCTGCCATGTAACTAGTATCATATTGTGCCTTCTTATGTCTATGTATCTATGCTATCTCACATAGCATGAAAGGACATTATAGGGGACATTTTAAGTCAAACAACAACAATAATACATACTCTGCCTTAATTACCTGGATGTTTCAAACAAAACTAAATTTTGGCTTAGTTGTATAACAAGGCTCCCCTATCAATCCATTAACTTTAACCTCATAGCTTGTGGTTCATCAATATGGATACTTTTCTCACCCTAGTGAATCTCATGTCCCCTGAGTACGATTTGCTAAATTAAACTTCTTTCCATTTCTCATGCCATTTATTTATATATCTGAAATGCATATCCTTACTTTCTCTGGAAATTCATAATAGACTTTAATTACATCCTACTCTTCTTTCAGCCAGTACGTACTTATTTGATGTGTTTTGTGTTAACATCGTTTTTTTTGTGTGTGTGCCTGCTGATAGATGTATCACTTTGTAACTTTTCATGGGCACCTGATTTGCCCAGTTAGACAATAAACTGAATGGTAAGAGTTTCTCTATACATACAAATGTGTGTGTGTGTGTGTGTGTGTATAAAATACGTGTAGTATATGTATACATACATACATAGGAGGCATCTCTCAGCAGCTGATTGGCATGTTCCATGCTGTACTTCCCTTTGTTTTTATAGGTTAAAATCAAGTAAATTACTTTATAATTACCTGGTAAATTAGATCAATACATACGTCCAGTGGATTATTCAGATTGTTAAAGTAACTCAACTTCATAGTCACAAAGATGGAAAAAAAATCTAGATTATTGTTCCTCTGGGAAAATTCTTTTCATAAATTCATGACAAACATAAGTTCTTGAGCTATGTAAGTACTTGTCATTGATTATTTGGGGCAAAACTGATTTTTTTTTCTTGAATTATGAAAGTCATACTCCTCAACTTGAGTCTACTTACCAGGCATTTAAATTTCCGTGTCAGCCCTGTGGGAGTTTATCAAGGTTTGTTTTTAATGGTCGCAAGAAAGCCACAAGCATGGCTTAGAGGACTTACATCCTTCCTCTAGCATATCTAAGTATCTCCCTGCTCTGACTCCATAAATGAACATATAATTTAAGAAGAAACTCAGGGTTGGCCCCAGGAAAAATTGTAGCCAACACGTCATCACCACTCCTCTCTCTTCTAACCAATTTGCTGTCCCCAAAATCTTTATATATACAAAATTTGGTGCTGCCGATGCCTGTTCACCAGATGAGGGACATCCCCACGTGTCATATTTCAGGGCCACCAGAAAACATTTCCATCTTCCAAATATCACAAATTGTTTTTGCTATTCCTGATAATGCATTTATATGAAATAAAACTTTTTTCTCATAATTAGGTGCATACTTAAAATTTGAATCCTGCTGGAAGCATTAATATAATGATGAGTCCTCATTCACATAAGATGATAATGACTGACAGCAGATCTTTTCTTGAAAACAGGTTTTGATTCGGGCAAGGTGGTGATTGAGTTTGAGAGAATGTCAGGTCACTACATTCTTAAAGCAGTGGGTTCAGAAGTAGGATAGCCACACCACATGGAGAATCCAAAATAAGCCAGTGTAGAAAGAAGATATCAAACCTTTTATTTATTTTAATTTTTTTATTTAATCTTAAATAAAGAAATTTTGGTGTATATATTTTTGATGCACACAATACAGTAACACCTATGTAATTTATAAGTAAAAATACACAGATTGGCTAGGCCACAAAATTTTTTTATGGATAGAAGTGTGTGATCTAGAAGTTTAGAAATCATTGCTTACAAAGGATGAATGTGGATAAGAACTTGATGATGCTATGTGGAAGAAAAGGAAATAGTTACAAACAAGTGTTTGCAACCTCAGAATTCTGACTCCAGTTATTACTGATTTCAGTTATTTGATCAGCAGGGAGTTTACTAACTGTCAACCTGACTCCAGGTTAGTCCCTTTTAAGATGTTGAGAAGTTGCTCAATTTTAGGATGTTGACCAAAGAAAGTAGATTTTAATCTACTTTCAGTAAATTAATCAATGTTTTTTTTTTCCATTTTGTTTTCTCAAGGGTCCCATGGGAACAGAAAGTTTTGAGGGAGTTTACTGTTTGTGCAAGATGACTGGTTGGGTAGAGAAGTCCAAAGTTTACTATCTGCAGAACAAATAAAGCCTGGGCAAAGGTAAGTGAAATGAATGTCTCCCACCTTGTCCCTTCAGCGTGTCTAAGGGGATGTTTGCGCCAATGATTGCATAATCCAGAACCTAATCTATGCATGTGAAAAGGAGAGGAGGTACATTGCAGACTCCTACCGGTTAAAAAAAAACGATCACTGACTTTTATTATTCTTAGTTGGGTAGGCAATTGATGATGCAGCTTATACAAAAATCATTAAAAAAATCTATTTGTTGATAAGATATTTCTAAACATCTAAGTTTTGTTTGTCAGACAGCATTGGAGTGGCTGAATTAGAATTTTCTTTCTCCTTCCCCAAACATAGACAACACACAGCTCTAGGCAAATACTAAAATAAGTCTACTAATTCATGGCTAGTCTGGACTTTTGTTGTTGTTGGTGATTATAACATCAAGGGCAATTGGATTGTTCCTGTGACTACTCCATAGTAATTCCTGACAAATATTCAGAAGGGACAAACATATAGTGTGGGTTCAACTAGTCTTTTAGAAGACAACTTTCTGTGCAAAAATGTTGATGGCAAAGCGAAATGTGGTTAAGTGTTGAGGTTAAGAACTTATTCTTGGGAAAAAAAAAAGACAATGCTTTGGGTTTCAGAGATTCTTACTGACCAGATATTTACTTAACTATTCCCTTTATTTTAACTCTGTTGTTGTTGTTTTTGTTGGGACTTGAAGTTTACCAAGTTATAAAATAGTTCTCAAAGAAATATTTAAGAAAGTGTTTAGATATTAAGAACAAAGGAATGAGTGAAGCCCTCTCCCTAAGTTTTGAAAAATTATCATAGGATTGGTAATATGCTGTGGGAAACCCACAGAGAATTGTCACTGACCATGTGAGTATGACCATGTGAGATATACAAGTAACAACTAAAGCTACTTAGTATCCAGATTACCTCAATAACCATAACATTTACTGGTATAATTGTTTAAAAAGAAAAAAAATTTTCCAGTATGGAAAGAAATTTTAATATCTAAGCCTAAGCCCTGCTATGACCTATGGTTTGGAATTTCACTTATGACCAGCTCTATTCAAGTGGAAAAACCAATTATGGTATAAATTTAGCTTAGATATTTGGAAATATTTCTATTACTATAGACTGCAAGACACTGAACTGAGTTGCAAATGGGGTTGGTAGATTCTGGATACTTTCAAAGTCCAGAGTAAACAGTTATCTTTTGGAATCTGTAAATCTGTAGTTTTTCCTGAAAATAACAACCTTGGGAGGGTCTATCAAGCTGTAGGATTCTATCAGCCCCTATCCAGGGCTTACAGCATTGAGTGTGTGGATCGTCTGTTCTACCTTGAAAAGGAGCTACTTGAGGAAAGCTGGTGGGAATATGTGAATCTTGACCAATAAAGTGAACTTCATGAGTTCAGACAATGGAATCACGTTTGTGATTCGAAAATGAGCTCTGAAACCTGCAGAGCCTATAGATCAGTGAAGTAATAATAATAAAAACAATAGTTATATACCCAGGAACACTAAGGCATTTGGTAAGGAAGATGACAGAATGGAAGAGAAAAAGAGAGAGACAGAAGGACAGGGAAGTGAGAGTGAGAACACACATGAGGCGCACGGCTGGCGGGCTGGCGGTGCAGAGGGCCTGGTTTTCCAATCTGGCACTGGCCTTGATGAGTCTGTTTATTCAGCCACAGTATCAGACATTCCCTTTTCCTGCCTGAAGAAGTCCCCTTTGAAGAACTGCTCTGCTGGGGAGTAGTTTCCCCTTGGATGGGCTACTCCTGTTTGCAGACCTAAAGGAAAAGAGCTGGAAACGCCACAAGAATGTTCTTTAAAGCGATATTCCAGCGCCACGTGAGGGGAGGATGAAACAGCAGTCAGAGATTTATTTCCTGGTTGAGGTATTTTTTTCCCCTCTCAAGTGAGTTTAGCTCTGAACAAAGGTGTCACATGAATGCGGCTGGGGTCAGAGGTTTTCGGGTCCCCCCAGGTGTGTGTGGTCAGGTTGAGGCTGGGGGTGGGAGAGCATTGCAAGCTTCTGTAGGCCTGGAGAGAGCGGAGGCACACCTGTGAGAGCAGGAGAGCATTCAATAGGACAACCTAGCCTTGCAAGTCTTTATCTGCAAAGGAATCAATGGTGGGGACTTATCAGAGGGCCAGCCTATACCTTCAAAGCAGAGCAGCGAAGAGAACTTTGGTGAGCTGGGGGACAACATTCATTAACCAAATTGGATCATTCCGAAGTTGACAATTTTACTTTGGGGCTTTCATATTCATTTCTTGTATTTCAGGATGACACTTTTTACTTTTCAAAGATGTTTTTCATCCAGCCCTCACGTTAACCCTTGTGAAGTTAGTCAGTCTCCGGCATTTTTCTCTTTGGAAAAGGATGTGGCCAAAGAAAGGGAGATGGTTACCTAGCTCATTACTGGCAGGGGCAGAACGACAACCCAGGTCTCCTGACTCCTGGACCAGGTCTCTTTGCTCTGTGTTCTTGCAACCTGTACAAAGGGACGATGGGAGTTGCAGAAAAAAGGAAAGTGACATTCTCCATCTCCTCCCAGGCCCGTAGAAAGTTACTGTGACTTTGAAGCCGCTGCTTTGCTGTGTCCAAATTTTCTCTCCGGGACCGGCCTTAGGGAGGAGATTCAAAGGAAAACCTTCAGAGAGGAAGTCTCATATTCTAGTCACTGTGGCTGCCTAGGCCTCTGGTGGGTTTGTTCAATCTTTACCTGTACCACATGAAACAGGAGCTCTCCAGAATGAAAAGGGTTCTTTGTTCCATTTCTGAGATGAGCCCTTTGAGTAAGAGGTGCCATTTCATGGTGATGCCTGACTTTCCGGGAGCGGGGATGGGACCCACGCTCTCTCCTTGATTCCTGGCTGAGACTCCATGACTCACATTGACTCTCCGGGCCTAGGAGTGAGGTTTCCACAGACGGGAACACAGGACACTAATAAGGAGTGTTTGAGGTGTCAAAGTGAACCAGAGTTCCCTTCCAGGGAATATGGATTTATGTTTGTCAGGGTTCCAGAGGGAAATTCGTAAAGGTCTTCTGGATGTTTGTCTTCTTGCTACGTGTAAAGCTGAAGCAGATGCACCCTGAGCCATATCGTGTCATCATTTGTATCCTCTAAGGCTTTTGCATGGTTAAAATATCTGATGAATGAATGGGAATCCATTTTCAGCCAATCCCGTATCCCAGTGTTCCTCAGCCTATAGTCTGAGTTCAAATCACCTGAGAAATAGGCAGGTACACTTTGAAATAAATCCTGAAATGCATCTCATGCACCAAAGTTTGAGAATTGTTGCTTTACCCCTTTTCTTCTTGGCTTTGGGAGCTCTTGGTGACTTTCAACAAACACAGTCTCAGATTTTGCAGTGTTTTCTGATTTACAAGGCTTCTTTCATATGTGTGTCTAATTTATTCCTAATGTAATGGGGCTAATTTAATAATAGCCCTAGAGGTAAGACCTTTTTCTACCCACTTCACAGATGAGAAGACAGAGGAATGATATTCTTTGGATCACGTAGTCAATTTGTGGCCGAGCCCAAACTCATCCAAAGTCTTGTGATTCCAGGTGCTGTGCTCTTTCTTACCCCCCTGCAGCTTTATACCTGTGCTGGTCTCTGGGTGGACGGTGTTATTCCTGATAACATGCTGTCCACATAGCTGGGGACAGTTGCTGTGATACATGTGTGAAGCCAGGAGACACTAACACAGTCTGTGTTCCTCACAAAGTCTACAGTGGGATAACTGGCTAAGACTAATACTGAAGTGTCCTTTCCTGCAAAAGTTAGAGTAAAGCAAGTTCATTACCAGATTGGATAAGCAGAGCTGGGACCCGGTGAGAGGTGAGAGTCCTTTCCGAAAAGGACGGGGCGTTTGTTTGGTGACCTGTAATTGAAGCTTAATTTTCCTGGACATGGAGAAGGCGTGGGAAGCTGACTGAGCCCCCAGCACTTTTCCTGTGACCTGGAGGCCCAGGGATGACCAGGCCAGCTGTGTGGAGGTTGGCTGTTGTAGATATCAGTGATGTTCCCAGTAGTGAGGACATGGGGATTGCTGAGAAGGTGAGTAGCTCTCGACTCACTTAATTTAAAAGGTTCAAAATGCTCCAAAGTTCACTTTCTGCTCAAGGGAACACATAGGCATGCTTTCAACAGCAATTTGGTAGTTGATAGAGTATTCTAAACAGAACTTCTAAACAGTAAACTGGCTGTTAACTCTTGGGTTAATTGCAATGTGCAGTCAGTTATCAGGAACCGAGACTTGTCAACTGAAAGGAAAGGTAGGCTTGAAACTTCTGCTCGTACCGTACCCACTTCTCTTTCCTTTAGCTGGGAAAGGACCTCTTCTTAAATCACGGAGGACTAGATGATTGATATGCCTGCATCCTGATTAGAAAAGGTTTCATTTTACTTGTGCACAGCACATGGAATTAGTTAAGGGCTGCATAGGAAAAGGAGTGATGGACTATTGTTCCCATTAAATTATAATGACAGCCTTCCTAACCACTGTGTATTTATTAGGTAAGAAAAGAAAATGTCTGGTAAAATTCTGTATAGGTTAATAACACCTTCATTATATACTCCTTCATTTCTGTTGACTTGAATAGCCCTCCTACTGACTTTTAATGGATTATTAGAGTTAATTACATCAATTGCAATATAATTGATTCTTAAATACTATGTAGAAACCTCATACAATTATGGAAAAACAAAAGTTATTATATCTAGACATCTCAGATGAAAAAAGATTTGGAATTCCTGCACATTTAATTTCTGATAATCACTAGTCAGTTTGGACGTTAAGATTGCATGGTGTCCTGTTTTCTCTTTGCTAGGTTTTGACAGAATTGATAGTTTTACAACATTTAACTCAATACACATGGAAATATAAGATTAAAGCTGTGAATGCAAATTTTTTTTTCCTAAAAAAAGATCACTTCATGGCTTAAAAGCTGAAATGTGTTACCTGCCTAACATTGACAGAAACAAACTCAAGGGAAAATCAAAA